ACAGGAGTTGCAAGTTTGAATTCCACTCTCTGTTAACCTTTTTTCCAGAATATTCTAAATTTAATTGGATTATTTCTAATTACTTAACAAGAGATGACAGCTTAACTCCCTACCTCTAGCCAAATTACTTAATTCATTAATAATTAATTAACCTTAATATAGCCTGATAAGAATCTGGCTGTTCATTTGAATACTTTTCTTATCTATTTGCCTTTGACTTTCCAAATCTTTTCATTCTTCTTCATGTTAGATTTTTTCTTCTATGTCTTTTTTATACTGTAGTATCCTTAAACTTTTATCTGTTTTTGCTTTCATCAATAGATCCTATCTTCCTATTATTTTTTATGTCCAAATAATCTAAGTTTATATTTTTGTATTATCTTTCAGTCATGGCTACTTCTCAGCTCTTTTTTCTAATATTTTATTTATAATTCTCTCTCTATCAGACCAAATATCTATGTAAGACAAGAAAATGAGAATAATATTTTTGTGAATATTCATGCTGTTTTAATTTTTCTCACTTTACCATATATTTTTCGTACTGTTTATCTAGAGGAATTAATAGAAAAATTTATTTTCTTTTTAAGTAGTAGTACTATTCTTCAATCAATAAGATCTTTATGTCAAAACACATACTATAACCAATTACTGGCATGAAATATCCAAAACCGGCAAATGTTTTTGATGCCCCTCCTGGGCTCTTCCTCAGGCTAAATTTGTATTTTTCTGTTGGAACTGGATTCTTTAATTCAAATGTTTATAACTAGGAATGTGCTCTGCTTCCTAAAGCTTGAATATAGAAGGAATCCACGTGCTGTTTCAAATTAATTTTCCTTTTTGACCAATGGGGATACATTATGTGCACCTTATAGTAATTACATGTATCACTTATCAATTTTATGATTTATCATTTAATAAATATTGCCAAGCTGTTGAGAGATTCATTTTATCCTTAAAATTAATGCACATTAATTTGTGATCGGCCTTAAAGATTTTCATCGCTTCCAATGTTCTTAGATGTTCTTGATGCTGGGTGGTATGGATAACCCTTGCCTCTTTAAAAATTGATGTTACATCTGGGTTTGTCACATAAGTAGACAAATGCTGTCGTACATTTATTGTGGGTGATGTCTGACTTATGCTCCTTTAGTCTAGTGGCTAATGGACGTTTGGTGGACCTGATGTAAATTAATTACCTATCCCATCTGTCGTTTTTCAAAGGGATGCTATTTATTCCCGGAAGCCTGTTCGGGTTATGGGTGTCCTTTCCATTCCTCAATAAACTGTATATGGAAGGGCTTCTTCTGTATACAATCATAATTCTTCTTTTCTTAGCAATTGCATTATACATTGTTTTTAGTTGCAGGTTGTACGTTACCAGGTTCTATGCTTTCTTCATTAGTAACGCTCCTTAATACTCTTTCTTCATCTGTAGTATAGAAAGAGTCCCAGTAATGTACAAACCACAACATTGGTTATTGGTTATAGAGTGTGTGTTTTGTTTTATACAACCCAGTGTGATGAGAAGCTTTAGATCTTTATGTCATTATCATTTGATGGCTAAGCACAATTTATTTGTTGTTACATATTAATATAATGAGAGAAATGTTATTTTTGGCAAACAAAAACTTTTCTAATTCAGTACCTAACTCATGCATTTGTTTTTTGAATGGAAAATCTGCATGTGTCTGTATAGCTATGGTCTATGATTTTTTATCTCTGCTGCAGTCCTTACTCCTGAAGCCTTTTTATTGTTCAATTCCCTGCATTATTCAACATTACTGATCTCATCAGTGACGTACGGAATCTGTCTTCTAGGTTTGGTACTTGCTTGTCACACAATACTCCATTTAATTATCTCTAGATGATCCCAAGATGCAAATTTACTTTTAATATGAATAAGATCAAGTTTAAATTTGCCATTACCATTGGTGTGAGGCCATACTTTCTTCATATATACTTTATAATTACAGTTTAAAATTGTCATAAAACCTACTCCATTACATAACCTGCATAACTTTTAAATTTTCTGTTAAACACAGAAAGCTTTGTAGATTATACATGTGTGAGACTCTGGACAAGTCTGAACCTACACTAAAATTCATGTTAAAATTATTTTTTTTTAAGAAAAAAAATGGAAGTTAGAAATAATTTTTTGTATGAAAACGTGACACAAACTTTTAAACAATAGAATTCCTAAGATTAACCATCTCCAGTTGGGGATTGAATTAAACATCAATTTTGATTTCTCTGCTGCAATCTAAGCTGATATCTCATTACAGTTAGTAACGAGTGATCAACCTCTTAGAAAGCAAGAACAAGGAAAAGCTACCAATTGGAATGGTCAATTGAGGATATAAATGAATAAAAACCTGGGAATTCAAGGACATGACACCTTTTTCTCCCAAAAGTTCCAAGTGTCGGACCAATTATTGTGTGTGTGTGTCTCAGGCCCATATTTGTCTCTATCTCTCATCCTCGGATTAACATCTTCCCATCACTGGAAGTTGACTGCATTGTCCTGGAGTTGTTGAGATGTCGAGGGACTGTCATTTGTGAACCAGAGACACTCCTTCATTTGGGACTATCTTGGGGAGGAAGACCCAGAGGCTGCTGCCAACTTAAAACTTCCAAGATTGCAGAAATTTTGTGTTAAATAAACAGTTTCTTGTAACTGTAGAGTCTGTCTTAGTGACCATTGTGCCCCCATATGACCCTTTGCGACCACTCAATCCTCTTGGCATTTCTACCCCTGTTGGTGACCTTAAACATGAAAATATGTACTTTTTGTCCTCATAGTCATGAAAGTATTTTTTAAACTAAGCAATTTAGTAACAACATAAAGAAGTTTGTAAAAAAACTTGTTTAAATTTAGAATTACTAATTTCTGTATTGCATTTAATGTGTTTTTTGTCTTCAAATTACTTCTCTGTCATTGTCAAGAAAATAGCCTGTGAGAAATAAACAAGGAATAAGAGATAATTTAATTTTGTAGTCTTGTGCATTGCCAAAAGTTTCTTAATAATTACTACAGAATGAAGCTGCTCGTTGTTATGTTGAATCAACTTCCTTTTTTATTCAAACGAAATTCTTATTTGGTAAATTCTTTTAAACAAATTATTCAAAACTTGCACATAGTATTCTTTATTCATTGTCTGATTTGACAGAATAAACTCTATAAATGATGCTTTACTATTGACAAATACTTTATTTTTATTGTCATCTTAAATTTTTAGGAATTATTTAAAAGCTTTTATGGTTTTTAAATAATTTGTAAGATTTTAGGATGACAGCAAAAGGGCTATTATTATCATAAAACTGTTTATAAATTCATAATTTCAGTTGTAATTTTATTCATCTTGTAACTGGAAACTTCTTGTTTTATCAGTATAAATAATGACAATGGTTGATATAATATAAAATATGTAATAATGAATGGTTGTGTAAATATACTTGTAGACTGAAGTTATTGGATTGATCTGTATTCCATATTTTTAAATGTTGTAATGGATTTGGTTATGGAACTTAATACCAAAGCTTACTTCTCAATAGAATCACAAATACATAAATGAATTTTTAAATATCAATTAAAAGTTTCTAATTAATAGACTGATTACAATAGCCATATTGGATTAACATTTCTTTGTAGAATTTAAATATTAATATAGTCTAAAAATATTTTAATTGGATAAAGTATGACAAATTATTTTTATGATATTTTTGTATTTCTAATCTATATGATTTTTAACCATGAAGATGCCTTATATATTTGAAACCTAAACTAAAATAATTTATTACTTATTTTGCTATATATTTTCAATTTGTTAATATACAATTATGCAGTATATTCATTTGGTGTTTTTACTTTTATAATTTAATTATGAAAACATTAAAAACTAATTCTGTAATAATAGTCATTATATGTTATTTTATTTCAATAATATAATAACATAAAGAAATAACAAAATACTGTAATACAAAACTTTTTTTATTTAAAAAAATTATATTTATAAAAGAAATCCAAATATATTATTATATAATTTTAATGCAATATAATTTTTTGTCTTT